AGGTCCCTACCCAAATGACAAAAAACTTGCACAGGCACACAGAACAACCAAAACATTTTAATAAAACATATATCGAACTTAGATTTCAATGCGCATAGCCCGCGTTTCATGAATATCTTCATCAAATATACACTAGAGACAAAATGATGCGAAGAAAAATGCATAAAACGTGCGTAAGCAACAAAATTAAATTACAGAGATAGTTTATCCAAGGTACGATATGTCTGAATTACTAGTAGTTTAATCTAAGTTTTATGTAAAATTGCATAATTCATGATTTGTTCATGATTTTTTAGTTCATCTAAATGTGTTTATAACTATTTTTATTTCTAAATAAATTTTTATTTTTAGCTCAAGATCTATTAATCTAAATCTTTCGAGTAATTATAAAAAATGCATGCTCGATAAGAATTTACAAAGGGAAACACTCCGCATTCATGCCCGGTCAGCTGCAGAAAACTCTTTTCAAGATATCTTGCAACAAACCACAGTACTTTGCCGATGTCCACTAATTCAAACCAAGAAAAAAAACTAAGAGATTCTAAACAAACTCCAGACGGAGTAAGACCAGATTGGTCGACAGTGTGAACAATTTAAGGGCATTTAAACTAAAGGGGAAACAGAAACCTCAAATCTTATTAGGTTATTTTTGACAACTAGACGGAATTAAAGCTTTTGTTCCGAAAAAAATACATAATTTTTAAATGCCTTCTTTCATTTCACTAAAAATATTTCTATAAAATATCTTTTATAAATCGCATATGCCAGACGGATATGCAAAGTCTCATCAGAGGTACCAGGCTTATACTTTGTTACGCAAGACGCACATGTTTGGTATCTTAAGGTGTTTGGAAGTTTGTTTTTGTGCTGTTGCGTTTGCTACCCTCATGTACATCTCCCTTTATTGATTTAATAATACGAAATATATCAATAAAATCACTTTTACTTTCATTTAACATATTATATCTGAAAAAATAAAACATGACAGGACTGTATTAACTTTGTGCCGTCCTTTTGATATTGTATATTATGTATTTATATTATAACAAAATGTAAAATATAATATTATACAATACAATGCAATATATATAGTATGATGTAATGTAATATATCATATCTTATGATATAATGTAGTATATAATATCATATAATATAATGGAATATACAATACTATGTAATATTATTTGCATAATATGCTATTGTATATTTGTATATTTGATTATTTATATCATTTCATGTTGTTTCTTTTTTTTTCTACTATATATTTTATTATGTTTTATTTTAAAAGATATCATTATATATTTCCGTTAAATTTAACTCAAATTCCTAATTGCCTTTGATTAAAGAATATCAAACCACGACAAATAACATTAGACGGAACCCGTTGTACTGCATCAAATGCGCATTTCGACAATCAATGTATCTTCAGTTATACGCTAAGCGAAAATGTATGAAAATCCAAAACCTAATACAAGCACTGAAGAGCTGATATAATCAATAAGGATCTAAAGTATAGCTAAACCCGGCAAAGGAATCAGAGATATGCATGAGAGAGATACATTACATAAATAATCAAGTTCATCGGTTATTTTGAATGGTCTTAAAAAAAAGTATAACGAAAATACCAAATTCCAAGGCAAATTCAAAAAGGGAAAGTCCATAAAAACTGACAAAATCAAATGCTATCAATCAACGGAACAAGTGTAAAAGCAACTGCCACATTTCTGACTTTGTAAATTCGACCTGAATGATTGAATAGACGAATGAACGAATGCATGAATAAATGATCAAATGAATGAATATGCCTAAACAAAATATTAAATGTAATTTCCTAAGAACTTTTAAAATATTATTTCTAGAAGTATAGCTTAATTTCATAAATTTCCTCCTATTTAATTGCATAGTTATCAAAACAGATTTCTAGTGTACACTGATTCAGATGAGAATGAAGTTTTATTCTAACTAGTATATGCTGGTTTAAAAAAAGTTGGATAGCTAAAAAAAAAAAAATATGTTCATACCTTTTAAATAAAATTTAACAGAATATATATTAGAACACAAAAATAATAATATCAATTATAAAAAAAGAAATACACAATATTATGTATTTAGATTCATCATAGATACCAGGATTAAGATTGTGTACGCCAAACGTGCATTACATTTATTGGCATATTGGCCCTTTTCACTCTATACACACAATGTTTCAATTTTAGACCTGCGTAGTTAGCTCTTTTTTTACTTTTGATTTTTTGTGACAATTTTCCTTTTTTTTGGTTTGGTTGTCCTGGTTCGACTTATGATTTTAATAACCTCTTTTGTATCTTAAACTTTGGCAAAATCTTTTTTTGTCATTTTGTACAAGTGAGATAATGTTCATGCCATAACCAACCGTTAGCTTTTTAATTGTATCAATAGCCCACTGATCATTACATCATCAATCTACAGTGATGCTGCTACAACCTTATGTTAAAAAAAATATTTAAAGTAGCCGTCAAATCTTGAGGCAGATCTAGGTAATATAATTTGAAATAGTTTCGTAATTTTGCGATTGTAAAGTATAGCTGGATGATAAAAATAACAAGATAAAATATGTGTTTCTTCCTACATGTGACAGCAGTCAGAAAATATTCAACAGTTCCAATTATGCAAACAGAGTTTTTTTCTTTTTGAATATTTTTTTTTATGTTCTCTATGCACAGTATATTTATTAAAACAAGATGAAAAAACAAAACTTTTGAAAATAAAACAATTATACTAGGTCTTCGTATTTGTTAGTAAGAAATATATATATGAAATATGCGCATTCTAGTTTTCTCTATAATATATTTAATTAAATCGAATCATTTTATTTTCATTTATATATTTAAAGTGTTGTCCGAAATCGGACAAAGCACTAGAGCTGCACATGAGAGACATACAGATACATTCCGTTATTAGAAATTATTTCCCATGTTTTATCACAAGGAATTATATATATTGTGAACTAAATGATATAGAGCTTACATGGAATCAAGACTAAATTTCGCAACATTGCAGTTTCAAATCTGATCTTTGAGCACTGGTAAATCGACTTTGAACTGAAACGGCAATTTTGACCTGAACCTGTTGTTTTCATTTTTTCAAAGACTGAACAATAAAGGAATAAGTCATGTTCACCCTTTCAGTCAATATGCGAGTAAAAATGCTGGACACAATATATCATATTGATGAACATTTGTTCAAATTATGTATGCCTGCGACCGCTTCTGAAATTCAATTTTAACAGTTTAAAATGAATTAACATTCTGTTTAAGTCTTTTTACAGTTTGAATAGGCTAAGTTGTTAAAATTGTTATTCGAATCTCTGAATTAAAGGATCACAAAATAAATTTAAGCAGCAATTTATTAGGAGAAAATAAATGAAAAGTGTGGACATTAAAAATACGTTTTTTTTTCTACCTGAAAGGCATTCGAGAACTAGGTGTTAGCTGGTGTCTTGTAACGAATGCCTCACTGAGTAGGAATCGTAATGTTATGAATAAACTCTCCCGGTCCCTTCTTTTCAGTGATATAATACAAATAAGAATTGGCTGTAAAAGAAATACTATTTTCCAAATTTAATTGTTAACTCTACTGCATGATTTTTAATCACTGAAGAGGTCTCCCCTCAAATAAAATATTTGCCGGAAATTTAGACGGAAATATTTCTAGGAAACATGTTTTTAAATTAATGCAAATATCGTTTTAGTTAAAATATCAAAATATATAATTGATGAATGATTCTTGCTTTTGTCTTTGTAAGTATTCGTATATAAGTTTTCTTTGTGGACTTGTTTGTCTTTCGGTCGTCTTTCGTTTTTAACCATGGCGTTGTTAGTTTTTCCTCGGCTTGTGAGTTTTGAACTTTTCCTAGGTATCTTCCATCTCTTTGTTGTGTATATCTCGACAACATAGAAAAATACTTGGAAGATCATTGATGTAGACTTTTGTTAACTTCTTTGTTGTAATTGTATTCATAAAATGTTCTCTAAAAGAGCTATTTAAAAGGTTATGGCCAATTTACCCAAATTTACCCAATATTTGTTTTACTCACAGGTTCATAATCAGAAAATTGTCAAACAATACATGATAATGAAAATAACACTTTATGAATAATAGCGTCCAAAATGGATCCACATTCCTAAGAAACGTAATAAAATAGTATATGAAGGAGTCTAAATGATATCGTAACAGTTTTTCAATGTTTTACATAAAACTTTTTAAAAAAGTACATTTTATTCAGCGGTACTTGCTGTTTAAGACACTTCTTTTCTCTTTAATTCGAAAATCAGACAGTTTTTTAATCTCTAAAATAACTCTGTAACATGTTCACAATGTTGATAGATATCATCATTAATGTTTTGGGATTGAGTTTCACATATTTGCCTTATGAAATTGTCCCTTCATTCAATCATTATATTGAATTCAGATCTGTGAAAAAGACGATTCAATTAAAGAAGTATGTGCTTATATAAAAAAAGGATTATATAGATTAATGATACTTTGCATTAAGATGTCCTACCGTTAAATAAAAATCCAGGTAAAATGGTTTAGGAGCGTAATCCAGTCCAACTTTCCAACAGGAAAGGATATACGTTGATTGACTTGGTTAAAAAGGAATAATTAGATTGTTTGTTTCTTTGCTATTTGGAATTATTTTTTTCTTAATATGTAGTATTTTCTCTGAAGTAAATTTTATTTGTATTTAAAATTTTTAAGAAATCAGTTTTATTTGTTAACTATATTAAACTAAACACGTTAGCCCTAAAATTTAAATAATCGATTACCGGGGCAACCCAAGTTTTTAAATATGTTATCTATTCTGAGCATATTATTTCAATACATATGTCGTGTAAAAGGGGAATTCCATGCAGTTATTTATACGTAGGACGAGCACTAAAATTGGAAACTACCGTGAGCAGTCATCCGAAGTATTCCCGATGATTAGATATTGCTATATATCTGTCCGTTTTTCAGTTGTTGAATCAAAACCTGAAGACATTTTAAGTATTCACACATATATTTCATGGCAGAACATTTTTACACTAAAATGTATTCAAGAAATAATTATAGGATGTAAGTAGTTTTGGTCATTCAACAGAAGTGCAACATCTGGCGTTTCATTTAACAGTAAATGCACTGCATTTTATTTCATTCGATATTTAAGTACTTATTGTTTTTACAAGGATTACCTTCATGTGTATTGAAGTCAGTGAATCACATATTTGAATGTTCATGACTTCGAAGTCACCTTTCCGCTTGAAAATGAAAACAATACAAATACTGAAAACGAAAAAGGAGATGAAATTAATACATTTTATTTTATTTCGTTTTTTAATTGGTTCCTTATATTCAAACAATATACATAATCATTCAATTAAAACAATTAATTTGATTGCAAGTTTACGGAAATTTTAATATACTTCATTGGTTAATTACTCATCAATAAATTTTTATTGTAGTACTATTAACTAAATGAAAATGAAAAATATAACAGTCCAAATAAGTATTTTACAAACTTCACACAAATTCTTTTTTTATTATTTTAAGCGCTCCTAAGAGAATGGATCCACACACTCGACAGCGTATGCGTCCATGGTTAGAAGCAAAAATTGAGGCCGGACAAATTAGAGGACTTGAATGGATAGATAGAAACCAAAAGATATTTAAAGTTCCTTGGAAACACGGAGGGAAACACGATTGGAATGAACAAGATTCACAGATCTTTAAGGCAAGAAATAATAATTATTATCCTTTTCATAAAAAAATAAAGATGTTTCAAAAAAGATTTGATTATTCTATATTTTTTTACATTTGAAAAAACTTTCTGTTCGTTTAGGAGTTTTTATAATGATTTTATTTTGATTAATTTGTCATGATTATATTTTTGCTGTTAATTGAAAAGTTGTTTGCATAAATCTTTCCTGTAAGGTAAACATTCGTTTGCTGTATTCTCATATGTTAGAAAAGATTGAAACTGTTTGAGAGAATATGTTATTAGTCTGCTGCAGATCAAGACAATGGCTTCACATAACTCTCTCCGGAAAAGCTAACTTTAAACAGTTTCAAATTAAACAAACTTAACCGTCAATGCATTGTATGCAAACTCTCGAATCGAGCGTACCTGATCAAGTTATTTCTAGTAGCACACGCGTTGTGCTCCATGAAAAGGATACCAAACATTTATTTCATAACTTAAGTCAATACTGTAGTACTTTTTAATTGCAGATTCAGCATACTCATTTTTTAATTCATAAAGTTGTAGATTTGGAAAAATAATATTCTGACTATGTTGGTTTTTTTTCTTAGTCATCATGTGATCTAATGAATACAAAATACGCGTTCATAGCTAAAGTTATGTTAAAATGATGTCTTCTGCAATTGAAATTTTCACTGCAGCAAGCTTTTTATTGTAAAAATGGTCAAAGATTTTTTTTTTAATATAACACTTTTTGAAACATCTTTTTGCATCAGCTGGACGTTAACCAACATTCAAGTATAGAGTAAAATTTAATAGAATACTAGAAGTTACATATTCATCTTAGCACGTTGAAAGATTATTATCATTGAACTTCAAAATTGCCTACCAAATAAGGCAAATCGGTTTTCGGGAGTTTTTGCTTTACAAATCTAGTTCAGCCGGGAGACGAAACCAAAATCTCCACCTATGTTTCCGTTTGGACAATCGAAACTTCTTTATAACCTTATAAATTACATTGGTTATTGTTATGCAAATATTTTTAAAATAAATATATCTTATGATTAATTTTTGAGGCAAAGATTTTTAATATTAATTGCTCTAATGATTAATGCTTTAGATTATTTAGAATAGTTACTGCGGCAATTAAGGTTACATCTTCCTCTGACACATTTAGTCTTAGACGGTTTCGGTGTTCTATTTATGTCCTTTTGGTTTTGAACTTCATTGCATTTCATATTTATGCATTTCAGCAATTTGACATCGCATAACCCTTTATTATTTCTTCAACCCGTGTCATACCTTAATAATGATGCCATATGCTTTTATTAATGCTCTTCAACTTTGTATTTGATAAGACTTTCCAACTGTTTTGATTTGAGCGTCACAGGTGAGTCCAATGAAGACGAAACGCGGGTCAAGCATACCAAATTATAAGCCCAGTATCGTTGATGAGTTTTTTATAGTCGAGTTCGCCGTGTATTTCAATATAGTCTGTTATGCCACGATTTTGTCACATCATTAGTAGTTAAAGAGTTATGAAAAATGAAAGCCCTGTAGTTGCTAAATTATTTAACATTGTAGCACATTAGATAAAAAAGAAACTTTTTATTACAGGTCTGTGATGTTATTCATTATTTTTTAATTGAAAATGGGCATCAACCTACGCATGTCCCCATCCCAACCCATTTTATTGTAATTCCGATTTTGGTGTCCTTTGAATTACATGTAGAACTTCATGTTAAATCAGAATAATAAAGATATATACTAATTTATCACTATTTAGGAATGGGCTCTACACACAGGAAGATTCAGAGAAGGAGTCGATCAGTCAGATTGGCCAACGTGGAAAACAAGATTTCGATGTGCATTGAACAAACTTCCAGATATTCACGAAATGAAAACTTATGGAAGACTTGATGGTCCCGAACCATATAGATCTTATAGATTTCTCAGTAAACATGGTAAGTATATGTTATTTGATGAAAGGGTGTAATTATTATTTCCTAAACAAATTGTCATTAATTTTATTAATCAAACGACATTTTGATGATGATAGGACCTGTAAAAAAACATATCCGTTCATTTGCTTACGGTTAACATCAAACTTAAATTTAAATCAAAGCAACAGTAGCTTATCGATGTTCAAATCTCATATATCGATATAACAACCAATACATGAGAGAACTGCATCAACTCTAAAAGGAACGATTCCAAGAACAAACCTGTACAATTGTGTTTTTTTTATAATTTTAATTGAATTGTATGGTACATTGCATTGATAGTGTTTTAGGTTCATATTAGCAATATTAATAACATTGTGTCCTTAAATATTATTCAGTCAAGTTCAATACAGAAAATTGGATTGAAAATACGAAGACTGTTTGTTAGCAGATGTTTTTGTTTACTAGTTATTTACTTTTAAACTGCTATTGTATTGGTCATATAACTGCCGAACATATTCGAACATGAATTGTATGAAACCTTATATATTTTAGTTGAATGTTTATTTTATAAATGTTCCCTTTTTAGAAATCACATACCCGAATAAAGAACCAGTGATTGATCATCATGACGACTCGAACTCCCCAACATCATCACAAGACTACAATATGATGGTACAAATAGTAATAGATCTTCTTATATATTTGAATATTTATTTTAATTGTACAACAACTATTTTCTGCAATTACTTACAGCTGGTAACGCAACGTACAAAAGTTTTGTACACAAATATTCATTACAGTGTTTCCTTATGTTTTAAAGTGATTGTATTAAAAGAAGATTGATATGTGCTCCGGGAGGATGAGCAGTTCCTGTTCCTGTTATATAAAGGCACCTGGCGTAAAGTTTATGACAAGTAAAACATTTGCTCTCATTCAGTCATTGTCATAAATGAAAATAACACTTTATAAATTTGGTACGTCTGAAACAATTTCATGGGTTTACCTTCATCGGGAATGAACAAAGGAATTGGGAAAAGGAGGTCTGGATTGTTGCTTCAACAAACGAAACATATTCGTGTACATCTCTTACGTAATTGTTTCGTAATGGTCAACTGAATCTTGGAGGCGTTCATAAGATTTTCGAAAAGGCTTTACTAATTAGAACCCTTGGTTAAAACACACCACCTCAATTTTTACCTACATCCATATGTATAATGTAATGATTATTTGTTGTAGGACGACCAGAATGTAGAGATAAATTCTATGCCGGAAAAGGTAATCAAAGGTATGTATTACATCATAACTAAAAATAATTGTGTAGTATGTACAGAATGCAAAACTACTTTTCATTTTAATTACGTATTTTGATAAAAGGTGTGCAGTTTCCTTTTTCCCGTGGTTGCTTTGACTATTGAGCCGACACTATATTAAGTGCATCTTACCAATTTTCTATTATTACAATATTACAATATTTGTATTTCATTCGTTTAGTAAAGTTTCATTTCGTTTTGGAAGATATCGAATATTTTATAGAAAATTTATTAAGTGAAAATTTATTTTGTTTTGCCCCATACTGTAGTTGGGGACATAATCCGGTCTGTGTGTCTGACGTTCATCCGTCCCATATCAGGTCAAAGTTTTGTTTAAGGAAGCTCATCCTGAAGTTGTGGCCACAATAACGTATAAGTGCGTACATATGTTCATTAAAGATGCTTACGTTTTAAAATGTATGCCAAATTAGGGTTTGTACCAAATTCGGGTATTTGAGTCACTGTACATGGAAATGTGTCATATTTTCTTGTTCTTATCTTAACTTCAATATATATAGAGTAAACTTGAATTTAATATGAAAAAAGAGCTGTTGGTATATGTCAATGAATCAGCAACCCATCGACTTCTAGAGGTCATGCTCGGTCATCAACAACAGAATAATATCTATAACATATATTAAGCTCTCGATTGTCCCGAGTCTTAAAATTGTGGATAAATTTAAAAAGAGACTAACAAAGATATGCTACAAATACCTAATGCCTTTAATGACAAAAACATCAAGATAAAAGCGGTGCCTGGCATGCGACAGGCATATGAACGTGTGGCGGGGTTAAGTTGGGGTTTTTATATAAAAATTCCCCTTTTAGTACCAATCAGTGGAATAACAAAAAGGAAATAAAAAAAGGTAAACAGCTATGTGTTTTTATTATTTATGACTTTGAAGTTTCGTTTAATGCGAATCCTATTTGAATGCTCTATTTCTTTTGAAATTTTTTTGGTTGAATTTGTTTGAGGATTATATCACATCGTTAAGCCTATGACTTAGCACTTTCTTTAAAAATCAAATTAGTTAAGAATGAATTGGCCAAAATATGAAAAATATCCGGACTTGGAACGTAATATCTAGGTAGATGGGACACCTTGAATGTTATGTTTAATATATCAAATTTCTTTCTTTAGACTAATTTGTTTTGGTGTAGTTTTGCCATATATTAAGCAAGTATTCTAATTAATATCAAAATTATTTTTCGCAAGTAAAATCTCAGGTCCTTGGTTAAGCTCTCCGAAAAATCAATAGGAGGAACGTTATATTGATGAGCGATTGTAAACATAGTAGGACATATTTATACGCATATAGACACTGTTATTGAATATTGAAACTACAGGATTTCTTTTCTCTGGTACTGAAGTTTCCTTATATTACACACAGAACAGACTGCCATTTTAGGTGATTTTCCTGTTAGAACAATACATAATAAAAAAATTATTGATGTAAATTAAAAGAATTATCTTAAATTTAGACAACAGTTGTTGAATTTTCTACGACAGGAATAGACTGCCGTAGCTATATTAGCTATATTAAACATGTATATATTTTTGTCGTTTTTATGCAGCCAAGAACCTAAACTATCAATTTATTTTTGACTGTATATACCACCATAGCATATGGAGGTATATATAAGGTTTTTAAAATATAATTAGGAGAAACCAAAACATTAGAAAGAAATAAAAAGAAAACATATAAATAGTCATTAAGCATTTCTTGTAAAGACATTTTTTCTGCTGAAATTCAATGGAAATGAAGAAACTATGTTTTTATTCAAAACATTATCGAGCAGTTTTATTTTCTTTCAGTATGTTTTAAGTTCAATCTTTGACTCGTGGTTCGATTATTGTCCCCTGGTTTATTCTACTTATAAGGACTTATGCGGAAAGTATACAGATTGTTTACACCAATTTGTTTTTTTTTTCTTTTTTTTTTTTTTATTTCCGCTAACCTGCAGTTGAATGATTGGTTTTACAGGACTTTCGATTCTTTTTGCCCTGTCTTTATTAAAAGATAGATTCAATTGTTGCCATTCACAAAGTTGTTATCAATGCAGTACAATACAATATACAAGAATGAAAGGAGAGATGGTTTACATGTATATTAAAGATTACATCAATAGGAAGTAAATGCATGTTCCATTGAATGCTACATATTTCTATTGTTAATGTCTATATAGACAACAAATTTAAAGGGTATCGTTTTTATGCCCCACCTACGATAGTAGAGGGGCATTATGTTTTTCGGTCTGTGCATCCGCTCGTTCGTTCGTCCGTTCATCTGTCCCGCTTCAGGTTAAAGTTTTTGGTCAAGGTAGTTTTTGATGACGTTGAAGTCCAATCATATGGAAACTTGGTAGACATGTTCCCTATGATTTGATCTTTCGAATTTTAATGCCAAAATTAGAGTTTTTACCCCAATTTTACGGTCCACTGAACATAGAAAATAGGGCGTCCGTGTACTATGGACACATTCTTGTTTATACTATAGTGTAAAATATTTCATGTAGATTTCTTTGTAAAATAATAATGCAATATTTGCCAATGTTTTACTGGTCTTTTGTTAGTAGATCACCTAAGAGGAGAGCATCTCCAAAGTGTTAAAAATATTGCATCTTTACCGAAATTGCATTCGATACTTTTTCCTTAAAATTCTGTAGGCACTTACGATGTTTCAAGTCAAACCATATTTACACGCAAGCAAATAAACGAGTGATTAACAGATAGCGTAAATAAGCATCGTCTTTACTGCATGCATCCGAGCTGCAGGAATTGAAAGAGAGAATTTTGTACTATATTATAAAAAGTTTATTGCGCTAACCACCCCCACCCCCCACCCACCCCCCCCCCCCCCCCCCCTCTTTTTTATATTGCATTCGCAATTTTGTACAATTTAATATGCTGATCTGGACAAAATTCCTCAATATAAGTGCTATAACCTATAACCCTATATTATTAGTTGTCATTGTTAGTAGTTGGTGGAGTAAGTAATCGATCTATTTATTTCATATGTACTTCGTACTTTATTTGGCCTTTTTGTTGATAAGTCTTTTGTAGACAAAACGCGCGTCTGGCGTACAAAAGTTTAATACTATTATTTATGATCAGTTTATGTACCTGCGAGTATGAAATATGGGATATGATGTATTAATTCATGACACAAAATCCCTGCAATAAAAATAAAATTCTTCGATTAAATGAATGCAGAAATCTAGATATGCTTGCATTTGTATCTTCGTTTTAAGAATTGTTTTTCGTTACCAATATTTTAAATGTTTCCAAAATTCATAGGAAAAATCTTCAAAATGAAAATTTATAGAAGGTTAAACGAAATTCAATCATTTAAATGCGCATCTTTTCCCGGTTATTATCTTAATGATACTTTTTGTACAAATTTTAACTTCTCTTTAAAGATCTTAGTATGCGTTGTTAGTCGTTTTTCAATGCAACTAATTGATTTGACATTTTAGTTTATAAATATGGGCTTATCACGCAATATTTGTCTACTGTATGAATATGACAATATTACTGATTAGTATTGCATACATTATAATTGTGAGATTTGAATTGAATGCTGTAAACTATTGCGATATGTACGTTTTATCTACAAAATCAGCTAAAACAGTTTGCAGTATGATAGAAATGAGTTTATTACAATTGTTGATGCGGTGTCCTAGAATAGTTTATTAGTCCAACATGGCAAAAGAGAACTTAATTTCCCAATTCATAGTCAATGTTATATTATCTATCATTCATAAATTACTTGTTGAGCGGACTTTTTGATATACTTGTCATATCTAGAATTTTGTTTTACAGCGTTCCTTTATTATTCGATATCCTCGATAATCTCTTTTAAATCCCATATTTCTCATAGTAAATTATGTATCATCAAAGGGTTGTTAACATGTTTGTTGATTTCTCAAATTTGTTTTGGAGGTCTCGAAATACAATACCAGAGTGACCTTCCTTCCGTGACAGGTGTATGACTTTATATTATTTACATTTTGAAGGGAAATTAATACCTGATTATATTAAAATACTTCCATGTTATTTTTTTGTAAGATATCACAATTGTGTCAAGGTGAAATGTTTTGCTTGATTTCAAAAGATGTTTTTTTTTTTTGCTGTATTGTTATTTATTTTAAATGTCAATACATTTTCAGTAATCTTCTCATTTTAAGTATCTCGTATTTACTTGGAAAATCTGGTAGAATTGTTGGTAACACTGAAATGGAAAATACGTAAGCCAGCACAGCTTTTTCTTTGACATGAATAGAGCACAAACATATAGTGTTTAAGATCGGAATTCCAAGTAATGTTGTAAATGCATTTTCAATAATCCATCGTGAAATTAGTGTTAGTTATAGAAAAGTTTTCTACTTCTAGTTTATATCCCAAGTACCTGATGCACCAGTAATCTTAACAGTTGCAAAAGGCCTAAACTAAATGTCTGTGTAGGATTGCATTTCTTTTAAGAATGTGACAGGCAGCTAAGGAGATTATTTTAATTTCATATACATTTTAATGGCAAATTTTTTTAAACAATACTTACCATAAACAAAAATTATTTTTGCCGGATTACATATTCATATTAGTCTGACTTGTTTAGTCTGAAGCCCTTTTCTTTAATTCAAATTATCATTCACACACGCTCACAACATAATATTTAGACGGCAAAATATACAAAGGAGATGTATTTTTTTTAATGTAAATGTCAAATTAGAATAGTTTAAGATACAGAAAGGTCATCAAGTCCTTAAATTATTCCACAAATATATTTGTCATCATAACGTTCGGACTGACTATAAGTAAAACGTATCGACTACCAGTAATTGATGTGGTGTAAAATTCAGTTGTTGCTTTTCAGCTAAGACTAGTCTTTGGGGATGTAAAGGGATATCAGGATAAACATTGATTCTTAAAATAAGAATTTGTCAGGCGAACTCTAAGGTTTTTAAACACCCCAGGTTTAGATGGCTATTACAAAATTTGGCACAACTGTTTGGGATCTTTGGTTTTAAATGCTTTTTAATTAATTTGATTCTAGCGTCACCGACGAGTCTTGTGTAGATGGAACGGTGTATTTGGCGTACTAAATTATAAGCCTGGTATATTTGATAAGTTATTGCCTCTACTATTTTCATTATGCAAATCCCTATGTTTTATCTTGATGTGTATATAAATGGATTTTCGAAAGGAGAAGGTCCGGTAAGGGCTAATTTTGGCCTAAAATTCGAAGTACACCTGATGAAAGATGTTTGACATGTTTTAAGTACTTTAATGTCTACTTCAGTCGATTATATTAGTTTCTGTTAAAGATTTGAACTGATTTGGTCATTAAAGACTCTCAAATTCAAGGTTAAATATGAAAAATCTATTAAATATGCCATAAAACGTCACTTTTCAGACGCTTATTGTCTAAAATGGAAGTGGCCGCATTCGTATTCAGTCTCAACATTTATATATATAATGTATTATCATTAAATACAATATTTATTAGAATATCAAGACTGAACACAAGTGTGGCCACTTCCAATTTAGACAAATACCGTCTTAAAATTATCACACATGCTAAAATTGTGAAGATTTCAGCATTTGTGCATGAATTAATGATGCTAGTACCTGATGCATGTCCATTGAATTGTCAAAAACAGCCCATATTTATGAAACAAAAGTATTCTACTTTCCAATAAATAGCTAAAAGTTTACATTTCTAACGACTTTGTAAAAGCTCTATATTTTGGGGCAAAAAAGGGGTATTACCGTGCCTACTCCTTTAATCATCTGTATACACCTGTCGCCTCCTACTTAGGATGGTGTGCCTTTTTCCGAGTCAACTAAATAAGCATGTTTACCATTTTAGTTGCGAATGTAGTACGCTGACGTCAAGAGGTTATCTGAAATATCCATTTAAAAGAAGAGAAGATAATAAGGGACAATCGAATACCATGAATCGAAAGAAAACAAAAACCAGACGCGCGTTTCATCTTTCTGCTAGCTATAACCAGGTTTAACCCACCATTTTTCTCGGATAATTCCTGTACCAAATCATGAATATGACAGTTGTTTTTCACTTGTTCTGTTGCTTGATAACGTTTGATTTTGTCAGTTATTATGAAATTCGCCCTTTTATAATTTACCTTGGTATTCGGTAATTTTGTTATACTTTTGTACATAACTCTCATCAGTGACGGTCTAATCAAAGCAGTTGCAAGGTAAAAATAGAATACAACATTGAAGAACAATTCCAAAATGTTATTGTTTCCTACATCTTTTGGGGAAATTAAGACTTATCAATAAAATCATGACAAGTTATCTACTATTGTACAAGTTGTCTTTATATAAAGGGTGTATTTGATATTTTCTAGCACTGGATCGATACCGCCGTTGGTTGACTGCTAGTCCCTGATGGTATGATCAGCTGGATAGTCAGTGATTCGATACTGACATGATTTATAATATACCTACTATAAATACTCCGTTGATAAATTTAGAAAATATTAAGAAACTAAGGTTCCAACTCCCGAAGACAAAGTCGACACTGAGGTGGATTTTGCTATTCTTTGTATGTCCCTTTTTCTGTGATTGTATCTATGATGAGTTTATTTGGTCGTTTAAATAGTTTCGTATTTATACACCCTTTCAAAGTTTTAGATTTGAACGTTCCTAATTTAGAAAATAACAAAAGATTTCGAGGTTGAATTAAACAATATTTGAAATAATAAGGATATGGAAATTATATAGAGCTGCATTAGAAATTACTCTGTAACTTTAAACATAGGCTTTATTGGAAAAAGACGTATGCATATACATGGTGTTAGTTTGAATGTAATGCGTATATAGAACATTTCATTTATGGGATGGGTTGTGAAATAGGGGTATATTCAAATCGGTGACGTTGTTTTAAATCTAAATTACTTGTTCTTTCAGGTGAAATTGATATAGATGAAAACATAATACCATCAGGCAATCTACCGTCAGATTTAAGAGATCTTCGAATGCAACCAATAACAAATGGACTTGCCAAGACGGCTGATGGTATGTTTTATTTTATTTTTAAACGCCCGTTTACGGGACGTATTATGGTATACCGTTGTCCGTCTGTCCGTCCGTCGTCAACATGTCAGACCACAACTCAAAAACGCTTTAACCAATATGCATGAAACTTTGGTGAATTGTTTATATCTATTGACGTAAGCTCCCTTTCGATGTGTATGTTTCCGAGTTATGGGATTTGATTAATAAAAAGGGGGATGTTCCAGTTTTCGAACAGTAACTCAAAAGTGCTTTGAGCAATTTTCATGACATTTTGGTGACTGGTTTATCTCTATTAAAATATTTGTTTTTTATAAATTTCTGATATGACATTAAGTAGTTATGGAACTTTATTCGTTAAAAAAGCGACGGGTGTAATATGCGCTCATGGTGCAGCTCTATTTGACCAAACTGCTTATTCACTACCGTGCAACAACTCAATTAACATACTATGTCGAACCATATGAAACAAGTATTTTTTTCCAAAAATCTATGTATTAAAATTGCCCGAAGCAAGATTGTGAAGCATATTTCCGAGTCAAGAAAACAATTCTTTATTCCAAATATCTATATCATATGAAACGTTGTCGGAATACTAAAGAATACCAATGAAGTTGAACACTCACTTTTCATTGATAAGTCAGATGCACACATTGACATTATACACATTATGGTATTTCCGAAGTTTTTCAAGGAGATATGAAAAATATTGCAGTCATGTTTGTGGTTTGACTTATTCATTTGTATATGTCAAGAGACATCTAGAATGCTTTGTATCTGTTTTATTATACTTTAAACATAAAAACTAAAATAATTCAAAAATGCAGTTTTGAGATCTCTGTTAGCCTTTATAATCTGTTTTATGTTCAGAAATTTGACACAATGTTGTAAGAAACCAGATATATACGCGTGAATCTGTTATACTATAAAGTTAGGTCAAGATTAAATAACTTTTTTGAATAACAAAACAAGTAAAGTAGTTACAATTGACGTTCCGTCTTACTTAGGTGTGACTGAACTCCTTAGCGATTATTTCGTCAATTATGGTATGGATTCTGTGAAATCCAAGCAGCACCAAGTGACCTCTGTTTTGAAATCAGTTCATAAAAAAGAAATACTTTAGTACAAATTTGTATTGTACTGACATTAATTAATACAATAAACTCACATATTCTTTGAAAACCTTTTAATCAAATTCAGACAAAATATGATATTAAATACTATTATTATAGTGACAAACTTAGAAAACAAACAAAAACAGTTCTGTTGGTTATGTTACAACTACACCTGCAGAGATGTGGCTAAGTATTCTCTTATTCAATTACATATATATTTTTTTTTTAGGAATTAATGCCATTAACCCTGCCCAAGGCGAGATTTCATTACAGAACAGAGAAGTCGGTAAGAAATAAGAAAGGACAGTGAGGGCTTTTCGAAGCCATCGTAAATGAAATAAAGCAAAATTGGGTTTTCTTTTAAATACTGAAAATTGTTGAAAATACTTAATTAGTAAATTCTGTCCTTTGAAATGACATCAAGCTCAATAAATCAACATATATGCGAGATGAGAGTGTTTCACAAACAACAAAATATTATACTAGTCTAAAGATTGTACAAAGATTCCGTAAAGCTAAGTATTGAAAAAACGAAATTTTGTCCATTAATATTACAATATATATCAACGAAACAAATCTTACCTTGTGAAAAAGACCGACATTGACAAACTCCTTTCGTTGTGCCGAAATATATGTCTTTTTAGGATATAATTTCAAAAAAGACTGCCATTGACGGGGCCATTTGTCTCCATAAAGTAATGTATTGGGTTATTGGTGGTTAAAGAAATATGCCTTAATTGTCTTTAATGATTCAGATGACAATTGTAAATGATTGTTTTTCCTGCAGATCCTACAATGGTGTTCAAACTTGGATACAGACATGTTGATCTTGGAAGCCATACTGTTCATAACTCTAGAGGATGTCGACTTTATTATGGACCTTCCGATATGGAACTAAATGTTCACTTACAAAATGAGGTAGTTATCAGGTTTTCGTTTTCTTGAGATGACATCAATTATTTTTATATACATATACTGTTACCCATACAAGTCTTTCAATACTCCTGTCTTTCTGTCCAGAAATATTTTATTTTAGTTATGCCTGCTAATCTTCGCCTAAGTGTGTACATTAGTATATAGTGATGACTTACAGATCTAATTTGCATTCGTTCCATTTGACCGATTATGTGTTTTTTTGTGGATATGCGACCCTTATCAATAACAAATTCCATAAATGTATAAATGCTTTTTATCAAACTTGCACGGCATCTGTGTGCGATATGACGCTGAATACAACACTGTCTTTGTAAAAGAAACAGAAATGAAAATTAGTATTCAGAAACTGTTGAGTAATTGATGTCAAATTACATGTAAGTACCCACTTGTTTTTGAATACAAATTAAAACAAATTGAAGTAGAAAACCATTTTTTTGTTAGATATAATTTCCGTGTTCAGTGTCTACGTATTTGGTCATCCAATTCAATTTTTTTTATCTAAAGCTAAAAATAATAATTAAAGATAAGCTGTAAAGATTTATGTGCGATTGTTGGCGTAGTGTAGGTGGTTTTTATTTTTATGTGAGGACATTTTGTTAAAACGTGCAGCACTGTTGACAGTTTATTATACATCTCTATATAAACTCTTTTGAATTTAAATCAACTTTCAAGTGTTTACTTTTGGGTTAAAAAGCATGTAAAGTATGTTTACATCAACCTTTGTCAACAAAAGTTAATTGTCAAATCCTCTTTAATTTCAAATTACAAGTGCCCATAGAAAATTGTTTACTTTTAAAAAAAAATTCCTTTTGGTGATTTTTAAGTGGTAAACTGGCTTTTCCAAATAACTCCCAGTGTATGATACTGTTGGTTGAAGGCGCGTATTTAACATTGGTCCAATGGCTTTTCTACTCCATGAATTGATTACCTTAGCTGTATGTGGCAAAACTTTCGGAATTTTAGGTCCTCGTTGCTTTTCAACATCGTACTTTATTTGCCCCTATAAATCTTTTTATTCGAGCGTCACTGACGAGTCTTTTGAAGACAAAAACGCTCATCTTGGGTACAAACGTATAAGCCTGGTATCTTTGATGAGTTTTTTTAGTATTTATACTCCACTGTTATTATAACAACAACTCCGTTGTAATTTAAACATCGTTGAATCATTTCAAGGAAAGATATGGAATCATCATAAACGTTTACACATGGATAAATCTGTATCTTTCATGAATTTTATGCATCACCTTGAATAGGGAGAGGGGGGGTTAAGAATTGGTAATAATTGAAAATTTTTGGAGTTAAGACATGTGAACGCCTACAAAATCTTTTTCGTCCCATTTTTAAGCGCTATCGAAATCAACAGTCGTCTTATAAGAAAGTAATTTCAAGGTGCTGAAAATAAAAGTGATTGTGGAAATTTAAATAGATTTGATTCCCAACAGTGAAATAAAAACAGGATGTGAGATTATGATTTAATAGAATAGAGAATGGAATGTACATTTGAAACAATTATAATATATGATATTAATAAAACTCATAGAACCTACCAGGCTTATAATTTGGTACGTCAGACAAGCGTTTCGTCTAGATAAGATTCACCAATGACGCGCGAACAAGAACATTTGAAAGACCCGATCAAATATGAAGTTAAAAAAGAGCCTTTAAACCCGAAGATAACATTAAATTTAAAAACATGGCAACATTTTGCAAATTACTGTAGGACTCATAAATAATTGAAATTAATTTAAAGTTCAACTCTCGATCACAAATGTACTTAAACAGGAATTCAGTTTTTTTGTATTTATCTATTTACTTTTTGGAAGTCGCAAGTACTTTTGTTCCTGAATGAATCATGATTTCACTGAATATCTAACAAATCTTCTTTATGACCTCACAATCGGACTATGTCATCAAGTGCAAGCTACTATTTTCATTCACTGAAAGCTTTCTTTTTAAGTTTATAAAGATGGTAAAATAAACGCAAAATATGACTTCGTCTTTCTTTTTAATGTATGGGTGTATATCCGAAATAACAGCAAAAAATAGTTTTAGATTTTTACTACAATTTTGTTTATAACTGCATATTTATTTGTGGGATTTTTGGAAATAAGAGACAAAAACATCTTTGCTTCTAAAAGCTTTTTGTTAACTTTGCATTATGATTGATGATAACTCAGATGACTTATTAATTACGAATGTTCTATAAATTTATCTATTTTGTTAAAAAATAAGAAACTAGTATGATTTTAAATTATTTTCAGAAATCATTCATAAGAGCTGTATTTTTATTTTCTTCAAACTTTTATCATTTAATTTGTCTATGGCCACATTATAGTGCTTAGACTGTGTATTATCTCATAAATTACAATTTTGCTTAGCGTACAGCTTGAAAACAAACATGATAACCACTGCATTTTTAGAATTATGGCACGATATATAACTAAAGATAACAAATAAATATCATTTGTGTCAATACTTTCATACTTTCTGTCAATAATAAAGTAAATTATATTTTTTTTCACAGGTATATGGTCCAAATGATGTTGATCAAGTGCATTTTCCGTTGTGTTTTTTGGAAAACAAAAAGCAAGAAGAAATGACACTTACATTGCTGAATTACCTCGATCGTGGGATAATCATCAGGGTTCAGAATGGTCAGATCATTGCTACTAGAAAATGCAGGTAACAAACATAGAAAGAATTTTATTTCAACGCTTTATAAATGATGACTCATCATATTAGTTTTTTTTATATCTTATATTGAATGTTGCTCAACATTAGTGAATTTGAAATTTAGATCCAACAACGAAGATTTGAAAAAAAGTTTATGCATGAGGAGAACGAGCGACGATTCTGTAAATGAATTTGCTCTCAATTTTATCACCGCAAATTTCTTATAACAATATTCGTATATTGAAGCCAGTATCAAAGTATATAGCTTCACACCTATTACACCCCATAACTATTGTTATACTTCATAGTTTCTATTTCTGAAACAAGTGTAAATTGAATAGATCTATTGTTACGAATAACAATGGATTTTGACCACAGGGTGTGACGAGCGGGGTTTCTGGAAACCCCTGCTTCTACATCCCGAAAACAAAGTCCATTGTTATTCATTACAATAGAAATTGATTATTTTTTTTAAATAGCATGAACATAAGAAATTACTAATAGTGTTCACTACAAGTTGTTTCAAGATATTAAAAAAAACATTTTAGGAAATTCCAATAGCGAAAAAATATTAAGCATCTATTTTGAATAAAAAAAATCCTTCAAGGGAAAAATAATTTGATTGATAGCGTTGAAAAACTAAATTTCTGACTCCGACAAAAAACATACCCCCCCCCCCCCAAAAAAAACCTTTGAAGTTAAAATGGTTGCTCCCTAAATACTCCTTTGCTTGAAGGTAAAATTTTTGATCCCAGTCACATGTCTCTATTCTAAAGCATTGATCTTAAAAAAAAACAGGGTTCTAACTCCCGGACCCCCCCCCCCCCCCCCCCCCCCGTGGATCCCGGTCGTCGGGTTTCTAATCCAAACACACCTATCCCTCAGTGTGTCCGAATATGAATGTTTGATTATTCTCGAGATGGGGGGGGGGGGGGGGGGGGGCTTCTTTTTTTTTTTTTTAAACCGTCACATAAAAAATACATTTATGATTACCTTCATTAAACTGATACAGGTAAGTACTTTGGGTTATACTATTGCCTTTATCTTTAGTCTTTTCTACCAAATCCAACGCTTAACTCAAAATGTTGTCCGTCTTATACCCGTCCATATTGACAACTGCATACAAGGAGCATGATGTATTTTTTTTTGTGATAAGAATGCACGAAACGGTCAACCTTGAACTTTTGATCCATATTTGCACCAGGATTTAACGGGAATATGCAAAACAGCAACTTTGACATTTGTAAAATCTACTCACTTGTCAAAGTTTGAAAGAACATAGCCAAAGTAAGGTTACAGTGGGGTTTCATGTAAACAAAAAATATTTTTCTTAAAATTCATGGTTCGATTTTGTCAATAAATATGCTATCCATTCTTTTTCATTTAATAACCAATGTTAACAAATATAGGGTTTAGAATTGGGTGGAAGTTAGTTATACACCTCGGGATACGGCGTGTCTGGATAAGAAACCCCTCCGGCCTCCGTATAACTCGGTGTATAACTATTACATAATATCAACAGTCTGCCAGAAAAGATAACAAGCAAGCGCTACAATATATAGCTAAACTGTCTGCCATCAAAGATATTGACCGAGCGTAGTTCAACGGCATTCTTTTAATTCGTTATTCCAAAATACTTTTATCATTAATTACAGTTTGGTTATTATTCATTCAACTCAACTGAGTATTCGAGAATCCTCGCACGATTGACTAAATCTGTAATTTCTGGTTTTTTTCTATAGTAGTTGTGTTTATTACTTTCATACACCATTTTTCACTGGAACGTGTATATCTTTTACGTTAGTGTTATAGAAGAAAACCAAAAAACTTTCTGTTATAAATTTTAGATGTACCATATTTGTTCAACTACACAATTCCCCAGAGCCGGTTAAATTGAACCGGGATGAACCAACTATAATATTCGATTACTTTAACTGGTTTGAGCCCAGTTTACATCGATATATAAATGATAAAGGACCACGTCCTTCGGCAGAGGTTATGATCAGCTTTGGTCAAAAGTGGTGTGGAGGGGAAACTGAATTCAGAAACAATCTAATATGGTCAAAAATCTACCTGGAACAGGCATATCAACAACTGTGTAAGGTATGAAATTAACAGTTATTTTTTTGTGTGTTTGTTTAAAGGGACTTAACTCAACTTACAATACATCCGTAAAATTCCATGCATTTTAGTTTTATTTGCGTACTGTCTAGCGTTTAACCTTCAGCGAATGGTTGAGAAACTCGATCTCACATACTTTTAGCTCCAGGTCACCTTGTTATTTTTTTTGAAGACAACGACGAGTTTCAAAATTATTATGCTGTGACGCTAGCCTAAAGACACAAGGTGCCTAAAGACTTATATACACGTGGATGTTAACTAGTTTCCTAGTAAATATTCGACTTTCCAAACCCCTTTTTTCAGTTAAACATGACATAAACAGTTCTTAATGGCATAGTGGCCATCGTATTGACAAAGCGTCAATGACTTCTTTTTCTAAAGAAGGGAAACTTCTAGGTGTTTGGTGGGCTTTTTTTTTTGTACAGATACTTTCGATTCTCAGCTATTTATTATAAGAGAAGGAGTATAACAATTTTCTTAACAGGACTTTCATTTGTTTGACTGAATCATTAATGTTCCACAGCAAAGTAGTTAAAGAGTTTGTCAGTTAGTCAGTCGCAATCTGTTCTTGTCTTAATGACGTTTTCATTATTATTGTTAATAATATCTAACTTTTAAGCAATAACAGTCGTTTGAATCACTTATTCATTTTTTTTAAAACTACTTGATTATGAAAATGACTTTGTATACTTATTTAGTTGACGGAACTGTTTTCTTCTTTTTTTACAGGTAACTTGCTCAAGTCCACTTTCTCCAAATATTGAAATATCGAGATCAGATAACATTGACCAATTCTTGAGACACAGACAAGAAGCTGTTAAACAGTTAAATGGTTACACATGTACATAATGCATTTGTATTTACAAAACAGATTTTTAAATATGTGATTGGTTACTTAAAAACAGATAAATTGTCAATATTTTTGTACCGTAGATTAATAATTGTACATGTTTAAATTTCATACATGATTATGCTAATTAAAATGGATAAAAGCATTCAGTAGCACTCTATACCAGTCTCCTTTATACAATAATAATAATACTTTATTCAGAAGCATAGAATATACATGTTTACATTAAATTTTTCAAATACATAAGTGTCATATTAATAAAAAATAATTATAAATACTCATATGGCAGAGAATGACATTAATCATATGGTGATAAATAAGGAATACAACTACACATTACTGATTTATTCAATACTGCTAAAAAAATTTCCAAAATTATTAAGTTCTTTCACATTGTGAACTGAAAGCAACAGTATAAGTTTAAAAGTGGATGGTTTTTGTCAGTAATATTTCTGAATATATTGTTTTCTTACATCACTAAACCTATCACATTCTAAAAATGGTGTTCATCTTCAAAAATATTGCAATTGCACATATTACATAACCTATTTTCTCAATCTGCACATTGTAATATCTGCCTGTCTCTATATTGAGACTATGGGCAGAGATTAACATCTGCAGATTTTAAGAAATAAACTGACAGTTGGAATATTAATGATGACCATTTTATCTGTTCCTTAGGTTCTCTTTCTCTTTAAAATGCTCTTAAGTACTAAGTTTTTCTCTTTCTGTTATTTTATGCTTAGTCTCATATTTACTTGATAAAGCCTCTTCCGAGTCCTGCTCAGGGGAAATGATATGTAATGGTCTTGTGACTTACCAATGGACACGCGTCAAATAATTCGGTACAGTCAATATTTGAATGACACTTTGTTGTTTTATTTACATACAAATCATTTAATCGAACTTACTAAAGTTACAAATCAAGCAAAGTTGGCGGTAGATAATTATTCCTGGCTAATATGGCCTTTTCTTTTTGATGGTCTAAAACGTTTTGTGTATGTGGCATTAACCTCTTCGATTATTCTAGAAACAGCTGTCGTGCTCACTGAATCTGTTATCATGATAAAAGTGATGTGGTATGAATGTTTAAGTATATGTTCATATTACATTTATTAGTATTCCATTTCGCTAATATACCCCCAAATCACTCTTAACGAAATGCCCTAAAAGTCTTTCAAATATTATAGTCTTAAGTTTGGGAGAAGCTCAAAAATGGTAATTTATTTTTTTAATGATGTTTTTACTCCGCCGTACAGAAGTTAAATCTAATTACAATACTACAAAGTATTTTCAGATTGTGTTTGCAGTTCTTGTAACTAAATTATTATTTTATGAATAAATTTGTGTTTTACATATTGCAGATGTCACTTACAAATAACTGCAATTTGGTTGAATAATAACTTGATATTGTGGATATTCAGAAACATGTCATTCTTTTTTACATATGCAGTATGAAAATATTTAAGGAATGACTGTATTATTTTTTCTGTCTATGAAGAAATAACATCAAAAATGTGATGCACACTGAATAACCCCCGTAGGGCGTTATTTAAAAGTGTGCACCACATTTTTTAGGTTATTTCAAATAGACAGAAAAAATATTACAGTCATTCCTTATAATTTAATTCTAAATTCCACTTTTGTAGAGTAAATCATGAAAAAAACGTTGATGACGTCACGGTCACATTACAAAATTATGTCTATGAGCCAATCAGAAGACGTGTTACATCCAAAATTAAATTATTTAAAAACAAACTTCATAACTTTAATGAGTTTTTGTCATATATATTTCAAATGAATGAGTGTGGTCAGAACATTAATTTTCATTTTTAAATTTTTATTTAACACAATATTTTATTGGCTTGTATGTGTATTTATGTTGTGATTGAATTTAATTGTGTGATTGAAATGATTTACTTTTTTTTATATTCTTCCATTTTATATTTTGTTTTTAATTATTTGTATATTAGTTGAAGATTAGTGTATGTTTGTTGCATATGTCAATATATATATTTATATTTAGACCCCTCTACCACGAAATTGTTTTACATGCACACGTATAAAAATTGCGGTTTTTATCCAACGCAATCATAGGTTTGAACGTTGTTTTCAATTTAGACTTGTTTATATTTTTTCGTTTGGGCTTGTATTATATTTTCCCTCGGGTTTATATGATCCGTTCATCCTATTTCGACTCTTTAAAATTCAAGAGTCTATCCTAAATTGAGGTAAATTATATGGCCTTCCAAATACCGTTTCAATCCCTAACATCACTGTAGAGACATTAATTGTCGAAATCCGGATATGGTGTACAAATTTTTGCACCTCATGTTTGTGGTATACCATCTTTCCCGCAAGTTTATTGTTTTCTGTTTGGTATTAAATTAATATTAAGATCCATTTTGTTAAATCTTGTGATCAATTTATTTGGCAATCGTCAATGGCAGTCAGGAGGGTTTAAGAACATCAGTTGTTCGACCTGTTAGTCAAATGCGTTTTGTTAAAATATACTTTTTCACTCTTTTTGGTCTTTTGGAAATTGTTGTTTGTGCTGTATTTAGACCCCTCTACCAGGAAATGCACACGTATAAAAATTGCGGTTTTTATCCAACGCAATCATAGGTTTGAGAGTTGTTTTCAATTTAGACTTGTTTATAATATATATATATATATATATAAAACATTAAAATTTTGGTCTTCCAATGGAAAAACTTTGTAAAAATACCAGTTATATAAATTTTAATTGGGTGTGGTTGAATCATAATTTCATAGTACACAGCCAGTATTAAAGGGCAGAAATATACGATACAACAAAATTTTGAAAATGAATCCTATGGTCCTAATTCGTACAAGAATGAAGTTTGTCAGTGTTTACGCATATTGTAATGCAAGACTTTGAAGCAAACATACATACATGTCATAAACTGTTGTTTATAATAATTGTCAAGTCATGGTTTAATTCATTTTAACTTTATGCTGACCCCCTTTGAAGATTGATTTATTTCTGCTGTTACTAACGAATGTGCTTCCTATTTCAATGCGGTTTAAGTTTGCTTTTCCTGTTGAAAGTCATATCATTCTTTTCTTACTTTGTTAAATGAAACTATAGGTAAATACTAAAGCCGGTCTAAATCATTTTGTTTCAGATTATTGTATATATTTTGTTAAATATCAGATATGAAAACAATAAAAATATTTGAGAATTTAGAGTGTGCTTTAATGAGTAAAACATAATGGTTTAGTTTGCTACCATAAATAAATTGCTAGCAAAAAATGTTTAACCCCGCCACATTTTGTATGTGGATAGTTATATACATGTTAGCGGGTGCCGACCATCCCCTTTAACCTAGAAGAGTGGAATGTCGTAATAAAACACATAATTTTCTTCATTTGGATGAACAGTTTTTAAAAAGAATTTTCTTCCTCTCTAAAAGTTAGCATATTTCATCAATTAAAAATCTAGCCGATTATTTTCTGCTATTTTACAATCCAAGATGGCGGAAGAAATATCATCTTCCTTTTCAGCCTCTTCTTGTTTGTCCATTTCCTTGCTTTAAAGGACTTTGTAGGCAATCCAAAAAAGTTTGCATCATTTTTATGTGGATGTACATGTGAATTCACATTATGTTTTATAGTTATCTTCAGGTTTTCAACAAAGTTTTAAATGTTTTAAAAGTATTTGGCTGAAACTTTGATCAAGAAATCTCAAGTCCGTGAAGCCATTTTTTAGTAAATTTATCGATTATAATTTAATGCAATCACCGACAAACGTTACGATGATGTCTGTTAGTGTGGCTTTATGCGTAATCCGTCAAAGAGTACTCCGGTTTTTTATCATTATTTCTCTTAGATTCTTGTAATTTTAATAAAATATCTTTTCTGTTTTTAATTTATCACTCGAGTAAGATTACATCGCACTACTTATGAGTTACTCCTGAAAAAAGAAATGTTACACTTTTTTCAAATTCCATGTATTATTACTATTTAAAGTTAGTAACAATTGGTTTTATTTTTTTGTGTTTTCACAATGGTATAACGAGTTAAAAGTATATTTGACCAGGAATTGAATTAAGATTTCCTCGACAGTTCATTAACTCATCGAACTCACCAAGATTGTGCAGATAACATTTCCGTAAGTTTCAAGGTCAATTCATTATAACCGTTTTAATATTTATATACCACCGTGAGTGTTCATAGAAATATGAGAGCGGTTAAGAGTAAATAGTTAAACTGCTGTTTCATGCAAGAGGAAATTACAGATATGATCAACAGGTTTTACCACATTATTATTATGCAATATTGCAATTACTCTTAGATCGGATATGATTGCCAATGAGACAAGTTCAAATGAAAAAGATGTAAGCAAATAAAGGCAACCGTAAGGCCTTCAACAATGAGAAAAACCCATACCGTATAGTCGGCTATAAAGGCCCCGATATAAAAAAAATATGAAACAATTCAATTGAGAAAACTAACGGCCTCTCGTTTAATGATTTTAGCATAAATACAAACAAAACATGCCAATTTCAAGGCCCATCGGACCTGCTTCTCTGCCATTCTTTTATGATATACCTGGGACCTCAAACATATAAAACAATATGTAGCATCAAAGCCTAAAACAACTTTGTTTAATACACAAACAAATGATTTTTATAAACTGAATACTTTAAACTAAAACATATAAAGTTCATGATAATAATATCAGAACCAAAGCGGGTTACCGTGCGGATGGAAACCTCGGTTATTTCCACTTAAGTCAGCAGCGGTACCGACCCATTGTTATAAAATAACGTGAATAAGTATGACATGAAATTCGTTCTTTACGTATCTTACCGAATACAAATATATAACCTTAGTAAATAAAGCTATTTCAACGAATTATTAAGTGAAAAAGAAAATACTACGATGAGAAAAAGTTTGACAAATTTGGTCAAAACATAGACAAATCTAGACAAATCAATTAGTATCAAATTGAGTTGTTTTTAGTATTTATTGTTGCATTTGAACCAATAGTCAATTATTTGAATCAAAATGTTACGTAATGGAAAGGAAAAGGGGTTATGGTACTCTTTACTTTATATACTAGTACAGCTAATTGCGGTCAATTGGAAAAAATTGTCAGACACGATTTCCGTCCTGTTAAACAGATTCTGACAGATATGTTAAGTACAGTATGACTATTTCAGTAGTTTCCAAGTGACCGTACTTGTGCTAAAAGTGCACTCACGTCTGACTCACCTTTTTTTTTTTTGGGGGGGGGGGGGGGGGGAGGGGGTTAATTTATATTGTA